TGCTTCCCCCCATGCCGGTGTGCCCAGCCAGAGAAAACAGCATCACTCTTCCCTTGGCACAGGCAGCCAAGCAGAGGTGTGTTGGCATCAACAAGGTACCATGACACTTAGGAGATCCCTCCTTTAATCTTCTGTAAGCGTTTTTTCCATCCTGGCATGGCCCATACCCTAATACCATTCTCCTGGTTTTGGCACAACCCCTTTCAGCTCTGCAGTTTGTTATTGTGCTGCTTTAGCAACAAAAAGTACCAGTCCTGGAGAAAACCAAATGCTTTTCTTCTTCCTTGTGACATGAGGATGTCTGGAGGAGAGTCCCCGGAGGAATGCAGGTAGATGAAGTGCAAAGGTAACCAGAAAAGGCTACATGTTTCTCTGCCTCGTGGGATCTTGATCACAGCGCACCCCAGGTTTTGGCCTGTGCAAGGGCTGGGCATGGTGGGCAGGAGCAGCCCTGCATGGAGAAGCACTCATCCCCTGGGACTGACAATCTCCCCTGACAGCAGTGGGATCCAGGACCTGCACCCAGGGCAGGACTGTGGTGTGTCTGGATGAACAGTGGCAGGGGGAAAGAAGAAAGGATTGTATCAGGGGAGACTTGCTGGGATAGTTGGGTGACTGCAGGGGTCTTGCAAGTAAAAACCTGGGGAAGCTCACGCATTGCACCCAGCTCGGTGGGTGTTGCTGTCTGACTGCAGCCTGTGCAGTTTCCCTGGGACACGTGCTTTTGCTCACATGGGGACCTGGCGAGAGGAATGTGGATGTGTGCCTCAGTTGTCTTTGTATGTCAGGTCCTTTGGACAAGAAAAAGAACTGGGAGATGTGGGAGGGGGGAAAGGCGAGCACGCAGGTAATTCTCTGGCTGGCACTCTGCACTCGGTTTCTTGCTGTGACGTAGAGATCCGGGTGCAAAAATTGAAAACGATAATCCCTGACTATTTAAGGGAATTTACTTTGGTCATTTTTGTTCCCCTGTTGTGTTTTAATCAAACATTCTCTCAGGTAAACTTTGTCATATACCCCAAGTGCATTGCAGAGTGTTGCTCTGGTTGCATTTAAGCGATGAGACTTATTTCTCGTGGCAAACAATGTTTCTGCACTTTGGCAGGCCAAGACTAAAAGCATGGGGCTCACCCAGGTCTGTGCAGAAGCCCACCTTCCCCTACCAAACATACAAGCACTAATTTCAAGTCAGTGACCACGGGTGATCCTATTTTCTTGCAGAAGGTTCTGCAGACAGAAGGATATAGAGGTATTTTGTGACTAAGTCACTCATTGCAAGTCTTTTGCTTAGCTCTCTTGCTAGTCCATCCTTCATGCAAACCAACCAGGGCTAGCTCTGTGGAAGATCAAACCATTCTCCAGGAAGACAATTCCAGGTTTTTTTGGTGCAAGGTCTCCATGTCACGCCTCTTCTGTAAAAGCACCCAGTGCTTTCATTTCATAGCCCTGAGTTCCCTCTAAACCCATCTTTTCACAGCTGCAGTAGCTGGGACTCAGTGCCACAGGTTTGTGAGAGCTGTGGATAAACCTGCCCTCCCAGCAAGGGGCTTGGCATCACTCACCAAGTCTGCAGCTCCCAGGGTAATGTGTGGACAGCCACACATGGAGGGATGCTTCTCACTCAACTTCAGACATCTTCATCTGTGCCAGTCACTCTTGGTTGTTTCATAGTTTGGGAAAGAAATGAGATTTGTTTTAGCTAGCCCGTTTGGGACCCCTGTTTTAAGATGCAGTGGAAGTTTCAGAGGTGCCCACTGAATGCAAAGGAACCACGTTAAGATTTGTCACTGCCTGGAATATTTTGGGATTGCGTGTGGCAGGCACTTGCCACATCTGTATCTACCAGCAGGGCCTCGGGAGTTGCCACGCTGGTGCCACCCCAACCGCAGTTCAGTGGGAACGCCTAAGGAGTGCAGGAAGCTCCTTGGTCATGGAGGCGTAATCAGTTCAGGTTTGCGTCTCAGGGTGGCATTAGAAGTTGATCCATTACGAAACACGCCCTGAGAAAGACTTTGAGCTTCAGGGAAGAATGTAGGTTAAGAGAGAAAATGACCCTGTCAGGAGAGTCAGGATATAGATAGTCCAGGCTCTCCTTGTGGGTACAGGAGACATGGGGTGGAGACTGAAGATTTGAGCCGAGTCTCCCATGTCTCCAGCTTTTCCTTTATTAGTGGCTTTTAACAGTGAGCTGGCTGCTTCTGCACCCAAGGGCATAAACCAAGAGACAGCCTTTCCCAACATGAGCAGCTGGCTGGGTAGCCTGACTGACGGCAGGAGATATGCCAAACACACAAGTTCTAAAGGGAATCCATACTATATTTTCTTTTATTTTCGTCCCTAATGCATCATGAATGAGTTAACGGGTGGATGCCTGCCCATTTATTCCTAAAAGCCATTCATACAATTGAGGCTGCTATTAAGTGATGACATTACTGGTTAAGCATGCATCTTTGCTAACTGAATAATTCCTTGCTGTGAAAAACCTCACAATTTCATAATTTATTGCTAATCCTGTTATATATACACAGATATACACATGTACATACACATATGATGTACACGTACACAGAGACTTCCTACCTGCTTTGCTTATTTCTGAGGGCAGGATAGTCCAGGCTGCAGCACTTCACATGAACTCCGTAAATTTCTACTTTGACATGTACATTGTGCTATTTCGTAACCTTCTTCTAGATTCCAGATTATGGCATTAACCTTTTGTTTTCTGGTACTGTTAAACTCTAAATTCCTAACAGCTCTACTGTGATGTCCAGGCTTTTGGCTAGGTAGGATTTATTTCCTGCATTTTTTTTATGAAAACCTGCAGTCTCTTCGTACTCTTAAGGTGCATTTTTGGCACATCAGAGTTTCCCAAAATGGCAAAATTGTTTTTTGAAGAGAAGAGAGATTGTTGTTGCTGATGCTTTTTAAAAAATATTATTATTTTGTTCTTCTCATCCTGTTCACTTAGTACACTTTGCGTGGGCAGTTTCACATGCTAGTCTGGATGACACAGGTGTAGCTATGCACCTACGCCTTTGGGTTGTTACACAAGTTTATACAACCAAAAAGAAGAAGAAACCCTGATTACTGAATACCTAGGTCTCATTTAAAAACAAGATTATTGCAGGACTGTGGAGTCATTGAACAGGTACTGGGCTGAAATTAAGAGATGGAGGACTTTTTTGATGGGAGATCTCATAAAAGTCTAGTAGGAAGACAGACTAGCCCCAGAGCAGTATTGTGCTGTGGCTTGGCAAAAAAAATCACAATGAGAGAGATGGTAACACCCAGAGAGTGATTAATTCTCAGAGTGGAGTCAATGGAGGATATCAGAATGGACAGATTTAGATGGATGCTTGGAGAACTGTGCTGTATCCATCTAGAAATGCAAGCAGGAAT